GATGTCAGGGTAATTAAAGTCCCCCATTACTATTGTGATGTGCTTCCTACATACCTTAGTTAGTTGACTAGCAAAAAGTTCATCTATTTCCATTGTTTGTTTGGATGGCCTATAGCAGGGGTGTCAAAAACTCAATTTCATTGAGGGCCGCATCAGCATCGTGGTTGCCATTGGGGGCCCGGTGGGTGTGGCTGGCATGGGCGTGGCCTACTGGGTAGGCGTGGCCAGCTCCATGTCACTCATGTCAGGGGCACCTGTGCGGGCCTGCGCAGGAATGAGGCGCATCCGAGGGTGGGGAAGGGTGGGTGGGACAGGGGGCGAGCGCCAGGGCATGGTCCACTGGAGGAGTGTCACTGAGCCTCAGGCTGTGCACGGGGCCCCTGGACAGTGGCATGGACTGCCCAGAGCCCTGGGCAGCAGAGGTCAAGTGCCCAGCCCGGCCCTTGAGCTCCCACGGCATCAGGACCCAACAGTCCTGCCTAGCCTAGCCGCACTTCCCCGAGGGGGCACCCAGCTGTACTTACCTCCTCCTCAATGCTGCTGCTATGCTCTCTCTCCTTGGCCAGGTTGCTCATGGTGGGTGCAGGAGGACATAGTGCGTGGGTCAGAGGAAGGCCCACTTCCTCTCCATGCGAGGAAACCTGGCTTTGTAACCAAAGCATCCTCAGAAATAGGATGGGAGACCACCAGGGAATGGCAAAAGGGCAACAGGGCTGCTGGTGGCCAAGTGCTAAAGCAGGACTTCCCTCAGACCCTTCCTTCCTTCCTCCCTCCCTTTCCTTCCTTCCTTTCTCTTTCTTCATTTCCTTCCTTCCTTCTTTCCTTCTTTCCTTCCTCCCTTCTTCCCTGTCTCCCTCTTTTCATTCCCATCTCCTTCCTTCCTTCCCTTACTTTTTTCCTGTTTCCCTCCCCTCCTTCTCTCTTTGCCCAGGAAGGGATGAGGAGAGGGGGAGAGGTTGGCAGCACTTCTCTCAAAGAATAAGAGTTGGGAGAGACCTTTGAGGTCTTTACTCCAAGCTCCTGCTCAAGCAGGGGACATATACCATTCCAGACAATGGAATATCCAATCTCTACTAAAAGCCTCCAGTGGTGGAGCATCCACAACTTCTGAAGGCAAGCCTTTTCACTGGTTAGTTGTTTTCACAAGTCCTTAGTTCTAAGCTGGTTTTCTTCTTAATTAGTTTCCATCTATTATTTGCCTTCTGATGCTTCGGAAAATAGGTTGACCCCTTCTTCTCTGTGGCAGCCCATCAAATATTGGAACACTGCTATCATGTCACCATCCCTAGTCCTTTTCACTAAGCTAGACATACCCAATTCCCACAAACATTTGTCATGTTTTAGCCTCCAGCCCCCTAATCATCTGTTTACCATCCATTTAGACCAGATGGTCCCCCTGGTTTGGTTTATAGAACAGTAGCCACAAGCAGAGCCTTCTCAGAGACAGCACCCCCATTATAGAACTTTCTCCCAAGGAAAATATGAACAGTGCAACCCTCACCCGTTTAGAGGCAACTCCAAACACACTGTTCAGCCAGGCATATGTAAAACAACAACACATTTTATGGTCAAACAGCACTAAGTAAATTACTACTACTATTTTTCTTTCTTAAAATACATACTTTTAATATTGTTTTAAGCAGTGCTAGTGATGCTTTACAATAGCTGTCTTTGAGAGTTTTCTTGTAAACCA